TAGCTACACTCTCTCTCTCTCTCACACACACCCAACCCCAACCGACCCCCCTCCCCCCCACCCCCCACCACACACACACACAGAGGGAGGGAGGGAGGGAGAGAGATGACATCTCTTGCTAATGAAATCTACTGAAGAATGAGCTTGATGGGCAAATGACCAAAGGACTCGAAATTGTCTGTATAGCTTCTCACACATAAAAGGAGAAGATAAACAGATGATGTTTCTCCTTCCAACCCTAGAATGGATTTATTGAATTGCCATGGAGTTCTTAATTGGAAATGTGAATGGTTTCAGGGAAACTTTTCTGAAAATGGTTATATTTCTATATGATGTTTTCCATCGGTTTCTTGGTGAATACAAATCATCTTACATTGCATTGACATGAAGTGCAGTTAGGAGATAAAATGAATTGAGTATTCTTTTCTTCCATAAAGAAGGATTTTTCTGCTTATGTGGATGAAAAACCAAGTTGCTTTGTACATTTGTGGACATGCATGTGTCTATTCATTTCAAGAAGGGTGCGTCTGGTTGTAGAAATTGAATCTCATAATATCATAATGATGATATTATTGATGTCGCGCAACATTTGCAGGTGAAACTTGTTCGTGTTACAAAAAGAGTGCACGAAGCATATTTTGCACAGTTATACCTTACTAAGGTAGAGTCATGACAAGTGTTGTCTTTCTGGGCAACTCTAAACCTGCCAGCAATGGGGTGCCCCTATTCAATGAACTTCTGGCTGAAAAGTTTTTTTGGTATACGTACAGGTTGGTGATGAGTCTGAGAAATTCAGCTTTGATCTTAGGCCTTCAGATGCTATCAACATTGCAGTGAGATGCCAGGTATTTTCAGTTTCACTCAGGCTGACAACTTGGGAGTATATGCCATGAATTGCTGCATTGTCCTACCTTTATGAGATGATGATTAGTATTCTTTTACTTTTAATGTAACTTTGTGTGCATTTTAGATATTTGTAGCTTAAATACGTTCCATGCAAGAAGTATGGCTAATGGGTATCGTGGTCGGTGTTTTTAAATGTCACACATGTTACTTGGCAATGTTCTCTGTGATGGTCAATACAAATTTGCTTTGCTCTGATGCAAATGCCTGTGCTAGGGACTTTCTCTCTATTCTATCATGTGTTGGTGTATGTATGTTTTATGCTCCTTATGTAGACATGTTTTCTCATAACCCTTATATGCATCATCATTGAAGATGTTTGTGATGGGGAATTATTACATTAATATGGTAATGCGTTAATTGAATTGTGCATTTCATACTTACTGCTGCATATATGTGGGATTAGTGTGATTTGTTTGTTTGGTTCTGGGGATGCATGAAGCACGTGGGTGTGTTTGTCTACCTGTACCCTGGAGCCTTCGTCTTGAAGTCCCTGTATTAACATAGAATAATAGAAATTACTCTGTTGGCAACCTTATTTATAAAAGTCTAACATCTGACAGCAGTGCCTCAATGGGAATGGTTTTTGTCGGGTTGGGTAGGCAGTGGGTTTCAACCCTGGGATGTGTGCCTCTGTTGCATGCGGCTAGTACGTTAGAAAACAAGATGTGCAGGAGAAATATTTGCTGCCTGATTGGAAAAAATCATTGTATCGTTTTCCACTTGGCTTAGAGTAATCAAGCCAAAGACTTCCAAACTAAAGCGCGTTTCTACCCTATCTCTACAAGTAGAGAAATCCTGCCCACTTCGCCATTCACCAAGAGACCCATTTTTAATTTGCTGTAATCCTTGAATTGAGATATGAAATTTATTGGACTGAGTAATATCTAATTGTCCATTTACTGGACTTGTAGTTTTCCTATTAAATATAGAGCCTTTTGGTGTTCTAAGCGTAACATTTTGACATTTTTTGATGATCCAGTGGAATTCAGTGAGTCTCAATTAGCAAAGGGCTCATTCATAAAACTTGCAAATTTTCTAAACCTAGTGAGAAAGAGCTGTATTGTCCACCTAAGTAGATTCTGCATTCCCAATCCTTGTTCACCACATCAATTGTGTTTCTCATATTTCTTCTCATGCCTACTGGCCAACCAAGCAGCTGCATTTAGAATTAAGATTGGGCACTTGTTAGGCAGATTGCTCCATGCTATCTTGCCATACCATATCATAAGTAGCTTGATTAGAGGGGAAGAAGAAGAGGAGCAAAAAGGGGCTCATTTTGTTTTTTTTTTGGGGGGGGGGTGAATTGAGTTGTAGGGACCCAATATATGTCATTATTCATTGAGTGCCCAAGTTAATATGCATATGGTGTTTCTGTTGATTATCTATGCTTTGAATGTGAATCTTTTTCTTTTGCAGGTCCCCATACAAGTTAACAAGCATCTTGCATACAGCGATGGAATGAGGGTTATCGAACCACCAAAGGTAGCTGTTGAGGTCCCTCTTTCTGATGGCTTGCTATTCACTGAACTTGATAGGTAACTTCTCTCCCACAGGCCTTTGAGTAACCCAAACCCATGTATGTGCGTGTGTTTGTGCGTGTGTGTATGTGTATGTGTGCGTATATGTGTGTGTGTGAGATAGTTGAGGCCTGTCTTTAGCATCTTGTTAACCAACCCTCTCTCTCTCACACACACACACACAAACGCACAGAGGTCACCTCCTGTAAATTTCTTTCATTTTGTTGTCTTGTCTTCCATTTCTGTTCAGTGACCACAAAACTGATATTTTCGTCACTGAACTTGGCAGGCCGGATGGCAAGGCTTGTGTTGAGACCAAAGAGTTCAATTTGGTGCGAAATATGTTGATTGCTGCTGTAGAAGAACGCTACAGAGATGCAGGTATCCTTTGCCTTTGATGGATGTTTGTACATTGATGCATATATGGCGTTATGTTCATATGCATTTGCGTCTATTCACGTATTCACAAGTGTGTATGTTCATGGATTCATTAATAGATACTGGGTTTCTGCATGTATTGTTATCAGTATGCATGTGAGAGTCTGTGGATGTGCATATTCGAAAAAAGAATCTGTGGATGTGGTGTCCAGGGTTGGATGTGTACATCCAAGACCATGTATAGTGTCAGTTTCATTTGTGTATGCTTGCCAGTTTTGCGGGAACTCATGCAGCCTTGCTTTGTATATATGCAGATCTATTTTTGTATGCATGCATCTGTGTAAACATATACACCGCACGTGCTTCTCTTTTCCTTATTCTATTTTAACAGGCAAAAGTGAGTTGAATTTTCATAGGATTATCATGGATTTTTAAAAGAATAGTTTACCCACGGCTACATACTGGTATTCGCGAAAGCCTTAAACTGTATGTATGGTGAATGGATGCTTTTGCGCTGTTGTATATACATTCTTTTTTGGGTAATTTGCTGTATATACATTCAATATGTAGATAATGCATATCTTATTGTTCTTGTTATCCAATTGAATGCTGGTTTGAGATATAAACGGTGAACCCTTAGCTTCCAACTATCGCAGATACCCATGATTATTTGGATGAAAATTCTAGGTTTCTCATGGCACTAAAATCTGAGATTCTCAAAATCAAGATCATAGTGGCAAGAAGACTGTTTGCAACCTGATACTTTGTACACCCATGCTTGCTATAACTGAACCATGTTGAACCTACCAGCTCTAACTTTAATTGATGTCACTCATGCTTCACAATTTTAATTATCAAAAGAACATAATTGTTATTACCATGGAAATACATAATCATGAGTCATTGCCATCTAATCGACGATTTAATGGTGGAGTGGGCTTCACCATGGGCAACATGTCTCATGTTCCAGCAGGCCTCACTTCTTCTTTGTTGAATAATCCTAATGACTGAATTTTATGTAGTGAAATATTGTACTTTCCTATGGGAAAAGGGGAAAAAAAAAGTTCATGACATTTTTCTTGTTTAATTTTTCAGCTCAATGGAGGGACAAGCTGACCCAACTGAGGTCCATGAAAAGGAATTGGATATAGTTACAGGTAATTCTCTCTCAAAATTGTCAGTAGCTTTAATCTAAATTTACAAATCATACTCGTTTATTTATTTTTCCATTTTTATAGTGTGAGCATGTAAATGCCCATATTCTAGCATGTAGTTGGGTATATATTTAAAATCAGATGGCCTCCGAAATTACCAGAAGGGATGCTACGAAACTTTATGGGTAAAATGATTACTTTAGCCTGTTCAGCTCTAGATATTTTGTGAAGCCATGGGGAGGTACAGGCAGTTGTTGGAGTTCCGTTTCGTCCAGCAAGTGAAGCTATGGAGGATAAATGTACCCAATAATATATTCAAACTCTCAACTCTCCCTGGAAAATAGAGAAGTTGCCAATTTATTTATTTATGAGAGTAGGAAATAGCAATTAAAACTCACAAACATCCGGAAAAACATGGAGGTTGCGAAACCCCCTTATTTGTCCTTTGAGAATGTGCACTCTATTAGCTTCATGTGTTTCGGAGGGGTGGATGGTTTTATAAATTTGATAGCGTGTTTTAATTGAAGGGGAGGGTTGTACAACATTGTATGAGGGGGATGTTTTGTATAAACATCCCGGGGGCTATCTGGAGAGAGAAGTGGGTGGATTGTCTGCGGTTTTGGTTTTCTACAGGTTTATTAATTACAGATCTTTTAAAGTAGATTGGAGTGTTTCTTTTTATTCTGAAACACTTCTAAAGGTATTTTTGGAAAGAAATGAACGTGGTTTAAGTCTTCTTTTAA